CCAAGGCATGGGTAATTTGTACATCTGTGAAGGCATCATTAATGCTGAAAGATATATACATATTTTGGAGTAACATGTTTTTTTTCTAGACAACATCTTTTCCTAAATATCCACGCTTATTTCAACACGGCAATGGCAAAGCACATTCTGCAAGTTTTACAACAGCACAGCTGTGTAATCAGCTAGTGTGGGTGCTACACAGGCTTGTCTATAGAACAGACTGGTCTCCCTTTGAAAATCTGAAGAGTCTCACACACAGCTAAAAACTAGTTTAAAAGAACAATGTCAAAAAACTGGATCAATTGGTGTTTCCAGTATCCCAAAAGATTATTGAGTGTTGTTAAAAGGAAAGGTGATGTAAGAGTGGTATACATGCTCCCGTCCTAACATTTTGGAATGTGCTGCAGGCATCAAATTTCGAATGAGCGTATATTTTAAAAAGGTTAATACGTTAAAACTTCAAATATTAAATAGTGTGGTTTTGTACTGTTTTCAATTTAATATAGGTCAAACAGAATTCCCTCCTCATTGCTTTCTGTTTTTATTTATAAGCTTTTCATTACTGTTTTTGGAATTGAGGTTTGTAGTTCATGGGTATTGTTACTTTTGGAACACTAAACAACTGTATGTATTATAAGAAAGATCAAATACAGAAACTAAAACCAGTGCATAATTACTGCATGAACTGCATGAATTTTCCTCTTGTTTCTGCTGAAATACTTGCTGTGCAAATGTTGATTGAAAAAAATTTAGTGTTAAAATATTTTGGTAGTGCATGTCCTTTCAATTGTATTCACAAACCTCATAAAATGGAATGTCCCATTAAACAGACACTTTCAAGTATCATGATGTCAAATATCACTCACCCTTACACAGAACAAAGCTCAATACTAGCCTATAGTTTATCATCACTTAGATCTCCTTCTTTAATTATCGTCCTAACTATATCGATATCTCATAATATCGTCACTAAAGCACTATTTATAAAATTCTGACAACTGTACTACACACTACTATGCTCTCAGGAATCAGAAAGGCTGCAAAGACAGAAAGAGAGCGAGAGATAGAGAGAACATGTCAAACGAGTGAGAGATGAGTGGGGTCACCTGCTCTCCCTCCTACAGAATTAGGCGCTATCTAACCCAGGCGTGCCGTGGCGAGCTGACAGTAATCCCGCGCCCACTGCAGTGCCGTGGCTGTGTTACATTATCATAGCTAATCCCATAATCCTCACTACGCTGCTAATCTCAATCCCACCCCCTCTCTCCCCTCACTCACTAATCATACTAATGATGGACCCCCATCTCCCCTGGCGACCGTCACTAGGCGACATAACTCGCCCCCCCACTGAAAAGTCTCATGCACCCCACCCGACTATACACAAAAACACTCACACACACACACACACGTACAAGCCTCCCAGGAAGCTCTCATTAATGGGATTCATAGCCGAGGGCAAAACACAAACTAAACATATGTTCAGCAAATCAGTGTGTGTGAGGGTGTGTGTGTCAGTGTCACCGTAACTATGTGGGTCTCTTTGAGCCACAAAAGGGCTGGGTGGGGTGAAAGCCCTGGTATGCAAGATTCCTGGTGGCTTTGAAGTGATTGGTGCCCTTTCTAAAGCGTGCTACAAAGACCGACCCAAGCTATTAACAGCAGGCCTATAGTGACATGACATGGCCCGTATTTATGGTTAAGCAAGGTGAAAGGAGACATTAGAGAGAGAGAGAGAGCTAAGAATGATGGATAGGGGCAGTAAGGTTTTAAAGAGAGCCACTTTGAGTTAAACAGAGGGATTCAGCTTCTATGAGTAGGTGATTACCTAGGGTTCTAACGATAGACTCAGTTCAGAAATATGATCATGATACTGAGCTCATGATTCGATATTCTCAGAGTATGTTGAACAAAATTTGATTTAAGTAAAATTATGTCTGTATCCATATCATTGCTCAATCTACTAATGAGACTAGAGCCCTAACCTGGATTTGGGATTATGTTGTATGACACTCAAATGTTGGTGTAAATTAAATTGATGCTGCACTGTTAGAAATAAAGGTACTGTACAGGTACATTTTTCGTTTGTCAAGGTACAAGCAATGTAAATGTTCCTTCAAAGGTACAACAGTAGTTTTAAGGTCCAGTTGTGTACCTTAAATATGTTTTTCCCCACTAGAAAAGGATGCATTTGTACCTTTTCATAACCTAAAATAGAACAATAAATTAAAAGGCCTGGAGATGAGACAGAGTGTGTGGAGCCAGTACAACTTAGAAAATATAATTTCAATGGATTATGGTACAATTATGTTCCCTGACTAAAGGTACTGAGATGTACCACCCCAGTGACAAGAGGGGTACTGCCCCAGTGACAGCTTCATACCTTTATTTCTGAGAGAGTGGGAGTACGTTGTATGACACTGAACATGCTGGTATGGAGTGGACATGCCTATATTCAATAATAATACATACCAAGACTATCTCTCTCACATGTAATATTGTGATTGAGGACACTATGAAATACCTTCACTACACTTCAGTCAAACAAGTTGCAGTTTTCACCAAAGATTTTTAGATATGCTGAGTGGCTCTGGTTTACAAGCTCTCACTACGCTGTCTGCTGTCACATTGTCATCTCATGGTTTATTTAACGTTTGTACAGCTGTGGAACATGTGGATGTGGGGTAATGTCATTTTTACTGGTGTTTCTCAGTGATTTTACTTCTATTAGAATCCGCCATTTTAGTGATTTTTACAGACTGCATGTTCCCGTGTCAGGAAAGATTGTGCTGCCTTTTACAAACCATAAAACAGAACGTACAAATACACCCCAGGCTACGTTAATCCTGGACAAACTGACCTGGCACTTAAAGAAGTATTTACTTATGTTCTCTGAGCTCAAATCAAACCTATATTTGTTGTCCTTCTTCAAATGTATGACTCCAAACATTAAAACGTAAAATAAGAGAACAAAGGTTTAATTTTATGTTGTGATATTCACGGTTGTCTGCAAATTCCTAAGCTAATGACAATATTAATAACACACCACATTCATTTAAGATGGCAAGATAGATGAACTAAAGATAGAGTGAACTAAATAACTGCTAAATGTTTTCACGTTTTCTTCTCTTTTTTTGGAGTGAAGGAAGTGCGCGACTCGAGCAGCCACTCCTATCTCTGTCATGTCTACCAAGTGATATCCTGTTTGAAACAGTCATTAACATTACAGATGTAATTGTGCATCTTGTGATAAAACTGCATTACTCCAGCTCCACATAGAAAACTATTTACAGTACTAAAACAGCACTGTAGGGTGCTTGGTTAGTACACTTTCATAGCTCACCGTAAAGGTCACAGTCCTCTCCTTTCACACTTGATGTTCTAACTGGAAGATTTGCCACATGCCCATTAACACTTTTGAGCCGAGCATCTTGCCCTGATCCATTCTGATGATTTGGTGATGGTCCCTTTAACTTATTTAAATATACTGCCAGAGATGTTACGTTAATTGCTTGTACATGCTGGCCAGAGTGAAATAATGACCATGTAGAATCAGAGTTTACTGTGTTATACTGTGTTTCTATCACTGTGTAAAAGATGCATGAGGCTTCATTTATTGTTGGATGTACTGTGATTTTTGTTTGAATGAACAAGCACTTAAGCACTTATTGATTTGCTTATTCAAAGTAAAAATGAAACGCAACTGATGTGTGACATATTCCTATCCAGGTGTTTTCTCATTTAAGAAAGGAGTTTGTAAGGCAAACTAAATTTTTGACTTTATTAGATCATGTTCTTTATATGTATTACATTATTTATGGAGAAGAGCAGATTTCATGGCAGAAACAGTTCCGTTTCTGAGTTGGCCTTAAAGAGTTAATACTGTAAAAATAATGATTCCAGAAATTAATCAAAACTGCTGTTATACTGAATACTGCTAGTATGCTATCAAGCTAGCATATTTGCTATACAAATTACAGACTAACCAACTGTTTCAAGTTGTTTAGCCACTTTCCTTTGAACACTGTATTTGAACCTGGTAAGGTTTTAGCAAAGGTTTAGCTTTACAATGCAATGACTGCAGCTAATAATGAGACTTGACAAAAATTCTCTACTAAAGACTCAAGACATGACCTGGAATTACTTTCCAGAGACTTTGCACTCCAACAACTCAAGATTTGACTTTGAATCAAAACCTAGTGACTCGAGACTCAAGTCTGACTTGCACCCCAAATACTTGGGACTTGACTTGGAAATAGGACACAGTAAATTGAGACTCCAGTCAGACTCACATCCCAAAAAACTCAGGACTTGACTGAGACTCGCACACCAAAGATTCGAGACTCGGCTTGGACTTGCACCCTGAAGACTCGAGACGTGACATGGAATCTAACCACAGTGGCTGAAGACTCAATTCGGAATTGACCTCCAGTGACTCGAGAGTCACATTCCAAAGACTAAGGACTTGACTCAGACTCACACTCCAAAAGACCTGAGACTTGACCAGGACTCACACCCCAAAGATTAGAGACTCAACTCAAAATAGATCCCCAGTGACTCAGGACTTGACTCAGAATTGAACTCTGTGACCTGGGACTCAGACTTGCATGCCAAAGACTCGAGATTTGGCTTGGACTTGCACCCCAAAGACTTGGGATGTGGCACAGAATCTAACTCTAGTGTCTCAAGACTTGACTCGAAATTAAACTCTAATGACTCAAGACTCTGGTTTGCACCCCAAAGACTCGGGACTTCACTCAGAATCAAACCCCAGTGACTCAAGACTCGGAAAACCCAGTGACTCGAGACTCGGACTCACACCCCAGAGACCTGGGACTTGTGACTGAGCGCCTCTGGTGCGTTGTCATCTCTGTGACCTGTCTGTGTGGTGTGTCCTATAGCTCTATGTATGTAAGTGTGCTTGTGAGCCTGCTGGAGCTTAGGGGTGTGTGTGTACCTCTAGATGCCCTTCCCTCTGTTTTTGTGTGTGTGGAAAAGCTCACCTTGTTTGCGATGTACAGCTCTGTCTCTGTCCCCGCTCGTCTTCACCACAGACACTTCAGCAGAGCTTTTCTCTTTACTGTCAACTTCTCTCTGTCTGTCACCACTGATGGAAGCAACCTTAAAAAGAGTGACAGAGATACACACACACATGCATGTCAAAAGAAAACACAGCTAGAAAGGCAAAGAAACAAATAAACAGACATAGAGTGAAACAGCAACAGGCTTAGTACATTCATTAATTTGATTTACTTAGAATTCACTGTTCTGGCACAGATATTTATTAGCGCCCATTAGCAGTGTGTTTTGCGATGGTAATTGCTAATGCACAGGCATCAGACCTCTTTCTCGCTCTCTCTCTCGCTCTACCTCTGTGAGTAGGGGCTCTGTCGCACTAGCTTAATTGTAATGCTGGAAATAACGGCAGCAGTTCTCTCAGACTTCCTCACATATTTAATTTTATCTTTGAATAAAAGAGCTATAGGAAAGTATTAATCTGCTTAACATTTCTAAGTACATCCTCCAAAGGATTTTGCTTTTTTAATCTTACATATGCTCAGCAGAGTTACTGGCAAAAACTGTACGTTTTCTTCATCTCATCCTTTCAACATCAAATGGTGAGCAGCAAAAATTGGATCAGACTTCAAAGCCAGGCGATGTGCTCCAAGTCACAGAGTGGCTCCTCTATTTCACATATTGAATTCGAGCAGGATATCAAAGTGCTAGCAAAGAACCTCAGGTCTTTACTAAAAAAGGGCTCTAACATCTGTAGAGAGAGAAGCGCAAAGACAAATCACCTCAGGGAGAAGCTAGCATTTACTCTCCACCGCGGATTTCCAGCCTTTTGATTCACTCTTTCCCTGTACCTCCCTTTCTCTCTCTCTCTCTCTCTCTCTCTCTCTCTCTCTCTCTCTCTGCTGAGATTGGAGTTCAGAATGAGTGAGCTTTCCCTCTTTTGTCTCAAGGACACATATGTCTCAGAAAAAAAAAAAGAGACAGCACTTCTCAGAGAAGCTTTGCAGTTCAGTGTTATATGCAGATCGGTGACTACTGAACACTAACACACTGTTCACGAAACACATTACCATATTCAATAAAGTATTCATTTCTGACCTCTTTAAGGATTTGATAGTCAGAGTCTGTTCTTTGTGGTGTGTCTTCCCTGAGGAGAAAATAAAAATATATTAATTACTCCATAAACCACATACACCATATGTAGCTTATGTAATAATGCACATCACTACTCAAGCGGTTGCACAAAGATACAGTCTAAGATCTGCAAATGCCCACACAGTGAAATCAACATAAGCACACAGCATATCAGCAATAGACAGAGTGAAAAGATTGTTTTTCTGAAAAATAGAAAAATAACTTTACTCATCAGCATGTAGGCTAGCTAACGAATCTTCCAGAAGGAAAATGGGCAGTTCATGTCAAAATAAATCTATATGGATCCTCTCCAGAAATGATTAAACAGAATAGCAAAGTTTGAGGTTTGAAGTTTCACCACTGAGAATTAGGATGTAAACAAGCCTGCAAAAAATCCCTCCAGAAAAACCACACGCGCACGCACACACACACACACGCACACACACACACGCACACACACACACACCAATGCCTCTAAAGTTTGGATCAAGAAAACTGTATTAAAATGAATCATGAAAGATATTGCTTGATGGGCAATTGTCCTTTTCTATTGTTGTAACAGGTATAATGTTTTGTTATCACATATAATAACAAAGCTCAACAGGTATGACAGCTATAATACAACAGACATAACATCATAATGTAACAATGTAACAGCTATAATATGATAGATATAATATCATGTAAACATAGTTTAATATCACAGTATAGCAGGTATAATGGCTTAACAAGTAACTAAGTATAACAAGTATAATATCTAGGGCTGTCAAAATTATTACTCATCCACCTGATTGCTATTATTTAAGCTGACTGCAGTTATTTTGTACAGTTATTAGCTTTCACAATAATTCAAGAATATGAATAAGGTGCACTTTCATCAGTTCCAATGAGAAAAATGTATGAAATGAGAGACAGCAGAAAATGTATTTCTTCAGACACATCATGAGTCTTACAAAAATAACAACAGTTCCATCTTCTGACTGGTGCTATAACACCTTCAGAAGGCAGTGAGTGAGTGATGTTGGTTTATTTGAGCTTGAACTGTGTCTGTCGTCAGTTGGGAGCTACTAATTGATGATACCAATTATTAACATAATAATTCAATAAATTATCAGATAAAATTTCATGATTGTTATAAGTCTAATAATGTCCTAATGCCACATTAAAATGAGCCACATCTCCCGCAGTGTGCAGAAGCAATACACAGTTGTATGTAAGAGTTTGGGCGCCCTGGTCAAATTACAGTTTAGTTAATTTTAAAGTAAAAGTAAGTTACACATCTTCTACAGAGAAATTGCACATTTTAATGCATATTTGCTGTTTATTTGCAAAATTTAACAACTTGGAAAAAATAAAACTTATTATGTGCAAAACGTATGGTACATTTTAAGCTTCGTATTACATTTTTCTAATGTGTTAAAAATCAGCAAATAAATACAAACTGTGCAATAAGTTTGCAGAAAAATGCCATATTTAAGTATGTCCTCTAAAGGGTATACGTTAACTTAATTTCACTTACAAAATTAACATGTAACTTGACCAGAGGTGCCCAAACTTTTGCATCTGACTGTAACTGCCTAACAGTTGTCTACAGAAGTTATGAAATGGTACATTGTGTAAGAATTTTTGACAGTCATCAACAGAGCTGATTCAGTCCTAAAAACTCCCAGAATACTGTAGTTCCACATGGCCACTACTAAATCACAAACAGATTATTCAAAGATAACTGGAATGATCGGCAGATTAGGATGGAGGATTTCTGAGCAGCGTTAAATGTGCTAAGTGTTAAAGTGTTAAATGTAATGTCTGAGAACACTGTAATGACAGGAGGAGAGGTTCGGTGGAGGTGGAGATCGGTTGTTCAAACAATACACACCCCCAAACAGCTGCTTACTGTCTGTTCGTCTGTTAGCCACATAGTTTCTTAATGACTAGAATCAGTTCTTCAGTACACACACACACACACACACACACACACACAGACTCTCTCTTTTATACATCTGGCTCCACTACAGACTCTACTTTCTGTATTGTGGTGGGAGTTTGGTGTTACCGTGCTGGAAAGATATTTATTAGACGTATTAGAAGTAGGGGGAGAAGGATGGGAAAAAAGATGAGGGGAGAGAGGTGGGCGTGAAGGAAGGACATAATGAAAAGAAGAGGGAGAATAGTGTCGGCAAGCTTTGCTTGTGATTAATATGCCAAGTTCTGTTCTCCTTGTCTGTGGTCGGTGTGAGTGAGAGGCATGTGAGTGTGGATGAATGTAAACAGTGCAGTGAGAGTAGCTCAGTAGGGAAGCACCACAGGCACGCAAACACTGACCTGCAGAGGGCTTTCATGTATTTAACTACAGCCTAGCCAAACACACATACACACATACACTGACCTGAATGGAGCTTTCATGTCTTTAACTACAGCCTGGCCAAAAGTACACAACAGAGAACACACGCACATGCAGATATCTACAAAATCTCAGAGCGGCTCTATGACCCCCGCTGTGAGGAACAAACACATATACTTAAAGCAAGGACGAGCAAGGGAGTACACAAACACAGTCAGGCCGACACATATTACAGTCCTAGAGAAGTTATTGGACGTACCGGGCTGATGATGGCGAAGACGGAGGTGGCTGTCGGCCGTGGCAATAATCTTTACGGACTCTGTGCCCCCTGTATGCTGAAAAACACACATTTCAACACCATGAGCCATTCACTTCAAGTCAGACACCACCTTTTAGGTCAAAGTGGACAATAAGTGCATGTATTGCATTGTTCAGCATGAGAAAAAAGCAGGAAACATACATTCAACAGAAAATTACACAAAATCCTCCAACACTAAGTATAACACCAAATCTATTGGTATTTAATTTGTGCATTCTTTACTTTTGTGCATCCTACTGCCACTTTAACTCTTCGATCCTTCTAGTCTTAAAAATAGCGAGTTGCAGCTATGTCCTCCCAACAAAAGTTTTTCCTAAAGGGGGCGCTGACATTATGTTCCTCTTCAAACAGACACTAACATTCACACAAGCAACTACCCAAACTCACCTCAGCTGCCTTTCTAATTTCTTTCTCATGTGCATCTAAAATAGCTAAAGGCAATATTTCTATACTAAATTTGTAAAATGGCTTTTTTGGATTGTGAGAAGCAGAAAATGCAACCAAGTTAAGTAGAAAAATATCTCTGCAGATTTCTTTGAAAAACTGAAAGCAAAAAGAATGGAAGCTGTGACACAACCAAAGGCTGGACACACTACACACACACACATTTTCTAAACCGCTTATCCTTCTGGGTCACAGAGGGTGCTGGAGCCTATCCCAGCGGTCACTGAGTGGAAGGCAGGATACACCCTGGACAGGTCATCAGTCAATCACAGGGTTGAATAGACTAAATACTGAAAATTTTGAGATCAGTTGTTGAGGTTTCTGTGTAATTTTCTGTTAAATATCTGATCCTGCACTTTTGTCTTCGCACATAAAATTAATAACTTGTACTTAATGGCCACTAACAGGAAATTAAATACAAGAGTGGTGGGCTCTGACTTTTGCATAGTACTGTACACAGAGTGCAATTTTAGATTTTATTAGCTGGATTTTTGACATAAAACATCTGCCTTTTACATGTTCTTGTTCCATCCAGTCAAACCATCTGATTCTAACTTGGAAGATGTTTTTGACATCTTCCAAGAAAGCACTTGTGGATAGTTACAATAAAAAGTATGATCAAATATCAGTGATTACTTTAGCAAGTAATTAGCGCTTTATGACTTACAAATTAACTGCGCAAAGTAACAACCCAAAACTGAATACACATGAAAGCAGAGCAGTTGGACTAAAAATGCAGAAACATTCATGAATTCCAGTTTAATTCACCAATTAAAGTTTCATTTTCTAATCAGTACACAAGTGAGAGTGGCCCAGTGACCAGAGGAGTTACAGAGCCCAGAGAGAGACAGAGAGAGGAAGAGAGGGCAGAGAAACAGAGACATAGAAAGAGAGAAATAGAGACAGATAGAAAGACAGAAAGAGAGTAAGAAAAAAAGAGATTCAGAGAAAAAAAGGGGAGACAGAGAGAAATAGAAAGAGAGAGAAAGACGGATAGAAAAGAGAGAGTCTGAAAGAGAGTGAGAGTGAGAGAAAGAGAAAGAGAGGGGCGAAAGAAAGAGAGGGGGGAGAGAAAGAGAGAGGGGGCGAGAGAGAGAGAGAGGAGAGAGAGAGAAAAAGACAAATAGAAAGACAGAAAGACAAAAAGAGAGTAAATAAGAAAGAGAGAGGTTGAGAGAGAAAGGGTGGAGACAGAGAGACATAGAAATGACAGACAGACAGATACAAAGACAGAAAAAGAGAGAGTCCAAAAGAGAGAGTGTGAGAGAGAGAGAGTGTGTGAGAGAGACAGAAACAGATTGAGAGAGAAAGAGCAGAGACAGAGAGACATAGAAAAAGAGAAGTGGAGAGATAGAAAGACAAAAAGAAAGTCAACAAAAAAGAAAGACAAATTAATCAAGAAAGGGCAGAGACAGAGAAACAGAAAGAGAGAAATAGAAAGAGATAGAAAGACAGAAAGAAAGAAAGAAAGAAAGAGAGAGAGAGAGAAATAGAAACAGAAAGCAAAAAAGAGCGAATTAAAGAGAGAGAGAGGGAGAGAGAGAATACAGGAGTAAATGTTTGGGTTTGGTGGTTAATCTGAGATCTTCTATGTGGGTGATGTTTTCTCTCTGAATGTGAAAGGCCTGTGTTTATATTAAACCTACTAATGCAGCTCAACTCAAAGAGCCGCATTCAACAATGTGAACGTGCTGGAGTGATATAGCGGGAGGTCCAAAGGCCTAGACTTATCACAGAAATCTCCCAGCCCCCCCACGAAGACAAACACACACTCTCACACACGCTCACGCACAGACACACACACAGTGGGACCAGGGCTCAACTTGAGGGGATTCAAGAAGATGCCATAAAATGAAAAACGATTTTTAAACTGTGATTGCCCTGTAAATTCTCTTTGGACTAATGGCGTTATACGAACGTTTAACAAAAAAAGTCTAATGTTTACACTTTACTCCAAAAAAGAAAGAGTGATTTTAATCTCAGTATAGGACGATACTGGACCAAAAAGTAAGTACGATTATGGTTCATAACAAGGGGTGGGTGATATGGCAAAAAGAAAACATCACACTATTTTAAGACATTTTCATGATGCATGAGATGCATAACAATATTCAGTTTTTCAGTATTCAAGGTTTACAAACAAGTTAGATCAGATAAAGTGTATCAGGGAAACAGTTCTGGCAATTTTTTTTTTAAAAGTTCAATGTTTGCAAAAAAAAAAGAAATATTTCTAAAAATATATGTATACTGCAAAATTAAGCTTCTGATACATGCAGTTGTTCAGTGTTCTAGAGATGAGCTGTAGATGTCCACTCAGAAAAGCATATCATCACAGTTACAGTAATACACTCTCAGGTTACCTCTCACTCTCAGACCCAGTGAGCTAGAGCACACGCTTCACACCCTGAGAGATCTGTTTATCTGGGCTGTTTACAAGCAGCTTTAATAGTGGACACATGTGGAGCCGAAAAAGAGTGACAGAGGGGAGAGAGGTAGAAAAAAGGGAGAGAGAGAGAGAGAGAGAAAAACAGAGAGGTACAGAGAGAGAGACGAGGTGGTAGCCCTTGTGCCAAAAAGGGGGCGAGCAGCACTTGAAGAGAGGGCGAGCAGAACAATGGCATCTCTCCTCCCTCTCCCACCCTCTCTCTCTCTCCTGCCTCCCCCTGGTACCCTGCTACCACCCTCTCCCTCCCTTCTTCGCTCCTCACGTCCTCAAAGGAGGAGGGGAGCGAGGGAGGGGGCGCCCCGAGAAGGTTAATATGCCTGCTTTGATCTCTGCCAGGCCACAGTGAGTAAGAATTCATTTACATTTCAGATGAAAAGGTTGACAGTATAAAAAGGCATCTTGTTTCTGGTATGTGAGAGGGCTGTAATAGGCCGGGAATTTGAGAGAGGAAGTGGCAAAGAAACAGAAGGGGGATAAACCCCCACCTCCTCCACCGCTAACCCCCCTCCTCCTCCTCTCCTCTCCTCTCTTCCACTGCCTGCACTGGGAAAGAGATGAAAGGAAAGAAAGGATCTCAATATGCACTGTTCTACTGAAACATGGGGACCAAATGCTGCGGCCCAAACTTTCAAACTTTTTTTCCCTATGCATTATTAATTCATCAACTCCTCTTCATGGGCTTATTTGTCAAAAATAAAAACACCATAGTTCGAAGAATCTCAAAGCAAAAGTGTAGAGGAAAGCAGATCACTCATCTGTGGCCTTTCTAGGAAAAAGCGAGTGAGCTGCTGTGAGCTCTCCGCTGGAGCAGTGGTCACTCAGAGTGAGGTCAGTACCTGACTGAATCAGCACTGCTGCCTTCTCCCGCTCCTGCTTGATTTGCTTCAGATTCTGACGAGCCACGTAACCTCTCCAGGCTGCGGAAAGAGAGAAAGAGAGAAAGAGAATATGAGAGAAGAGAAGGGGGACAGAAAGACAAGGAGAAATAGAAAGAAAAAAAGAAAAAAGAGATAGATAGATAGATAGATAGATAGATAGATAGATAGATAGATAGATAGAAAAAAGAGGGAGAAAGAGAAAGAGAAAGAGAGGGAGACATGCCAAGAAAGAAAGAAAGAAAGAAAAAAAATAAATAAAAAAGAAAGAACAAAAGAATGGAAGAAAGAAAGAATACGCATCAATAATGTACTGCATTACTGAAAAAAAATGAACATCTTTATAACATTCATTATAATGTTTGTGATTCTACTTACATTTCTTCATTTCAATTCCTTATAATTCATCCTTTTTTACTCTTAAAAATCCTTTATAAAACATTTGGGCGACATTATTTTGAGAGTCTGCTGCAGATGCTTTGTAGATGTTCAGTTTATCTTTGATTAATATTCAATTAAATATCTATTAAACGTAACTTTAAGCTGAATTAACAGACGCTACTAAAACTAACTTTAACAACTTGAAACCTAATCCTAAATCTAACCCTAACGCTGTTGATCAGCTGTTTTACCAGAAAGTTTGTCAACACTATAAAAGTAAAGCGTTACATTCTTTATTGACAAAATGAAAGAAAAATGTGTGTCAATAACCAGAATCAGCAATAATTTTATGTCTGTTAAATATTTATAGCACTTTTTCAGAATTTTTTTTGTATGATATGGGGAGAAATTCGTATCAGATCATGTCACTGTAGCTGTTTTGTACCTGACTGGATGATTATTGCTCCGTGGTTGCGTTTCTCTTTCTCTCTGCGGTATCTCCTTGCCCCAAGCCATCCTTTAGTGTAGGCCTGCAACACCACCACCCGAGCCATCACCTCTCTCAACAACAGATTCAGCTGCTCCACGTGGTAGTACTTCAGAAACACCTGTCTCACACACACACGCACAAACACACACACACACACACACATGAAGTACACGTTCGTGTGCAAACAGACGGTACCTTCACTCACCTCACAGAAACACACAATGATTGCAATCAAGGGGTTTATAGGGGAATAGCACTCTTTGAACTTCTTATTTCATTTTTTTTTTTCAAAGCTGCAGATGCCAACCATCTGGTCAATTAGACTCATAGATAACAACCTCTCTCGGCTCAGGGATTTAACTCTTCAGAGAGAGAGAGAGAGGAAGAGAGAGAGGGAGAAAAAGAGAGAGAGGGAGGGAGAGGGAAGGAGAGAGAGAGAGACAGAGAGAGGTGAGAGAAAATGAAAGACAGTGAGAATGAAAGACAGAGCGAGGGAATCAAAGAGTGGAGTTTGTTTTGTATGCAATGGATGGGGTGGGAAAAACAGTCCTGTGTGGTGTGAAACAGGTATTTCATCACTCTGCTGCCTGTCTAAAGGAGTGCAAGGTGTGCAGTGAATGATGACTGTACCTTAGTCTTGCCCAGAACCCAGTTGTCCAGTTTGGCTCTCTGTAGGATAGCCACTGTGTTTTCCATACTGCTCTCCGGCATCTGATGAGCACGGAAAGCCAGATAATAGTACCTGAGGAGAGCAGGAAAACAGAAAACACAGTACGTTTGAACAGATGTCTTAACGATGTTTAATTCCGGGGGAGAGGTGTGAACATATATTAGGGGTGAATATATTAAAATTATCATTAATGTATTTCAAGTTCATCCTGTCTTTGTTACAAAAAGGACTTCAAGCTTCAATGACTTTAGGAACAGCAACAGCAACCAGAAAGAAACTTAGCAACGGGAATGAAAGTCATCAAGCAACAAACAGAGCACTTTGGTTAGTTTCTGTAATTAAAGAGGACTCCCACTGATGTCTCAAATGTTCTGCATATTTAAATCATTAAGACATAAACAGTCATTCAGAGTGGTTTGAGATGAAAAGCTGCATTCTAGAAAAACTTACTAGTCAGAATGGTTCACAGGGGTGCTGATAGGAGCCAGACACCTGAAGTGTTTTAACACTTGTGCTACCACAGAGCTAGTGTACAAAATTGTTACAAATACACTGTCTGATGCATAATATTATTACATAATATTACATATGTTTATAATATATTCACAATGATGATAAAATCATGACAAAAACTCCTAAGACGTGTAGGTTCACTGATGATTTTGGATAGTAAAAAATGTCTATATTTGTATTATAAACATCACAATCACAAGCTTCTCTACAATGCACCATTCCACTTTAAACTATTATGAATGACTTATGATCTCAATGATTGAATTATGCAGAAATTTTGAGAAATCTGTTGAATTTTTCTTTAACTAATGAAACACTTGAAAATCAGGAGGATAAAAAAGCCTATGTAATGCGATCGCTTTGCACTATTGTTGTCTCGTCTTGTAACGTTATGAGCAGATGACATAACTTCATAAAAAAGGGAAAAAGTGATTAGAGTAGCCAAATGTCTTTGAATAATATGCTCTGAATGTCTTTTAGTGATAATGCTGTTAAGAAAATGAAATTTTATTTAAAAATAGTAAAATAATGCAAAAATTGAGTCAGACAGACCTCACAATGCATCAACTACATCATTTTGCTGTAGTACGCCAATGTCACAGCAGCAAGCAGCAAGTCAAATTTGCACATGCAGAAAGCAGCACAGTTGCCTCTGGTTGCCATCATGTGCAGCCATTGATGCTTACAATCCCTACTGTTTTCAAACTGTTCTACGCAGTTTCACAGCTGTTTCCTGACTGTTCTATCATGGCTTTTCTCTTGCGTTGTGAATTATAATGTTTTGGGGACAGTGACCGAATGCCCCACCATAGTCAGAGCCTATGCTGAGAATGTTTAACTTCAGTTCATTGGGAATAAAATATTGTGCATATGAAATTGAAGTAAAAAAGTTCTAACTATATAAAAGACACATAAGAAAATGTTCTGCACCCTTTGTTTAGTTATAAGTGGGACAAATTACTTTCTGTTTCATGGAAACCGAGTGTAGATTTCAGCTGTGAATTACAGAAGTTATCAGTTGTGAGTAGTCTTAGTAGGTGGTTTCACTCATAAACATTGGCCCTCCTTCTTGGCTGTGCCAGGTGCCCCACACTCATTCTTTTAGAAGCACCACCAGCAGCAGAAGCAGGACCTAAGGGTCTTTGTTCAAAAACATCAAGGCTCATGAAGGGCCCAGTTGATCCTGGGTGTTCACTCACATTGCGGAGGAAGATAACAACTATTGTGTTTCCAGGAGGAAAAGTCTCTTTGATTCACCACTACCCACTGCCTTTCATATTAATTCTTGTTGATACCTGTTATCTCTTTGATGATGAATACAAAGAGGACTCCTCCATGGCTTCACAGAGAGAAGGCTTTGATAAGGTCATACAAATTTAAACCAGTTTGTAGCAGTGGAGTATATCAGGGCTGCTCATCCACAGCCTTGGTTGAGCTATTACCAAACTAACTAAATACGGACTCTGTGGTCACAAAGCACGGAGGTCCATGACAGCCAGAGTCAGTCTAGGAAAAAAAAAAACTAGATAATCAGGACAGTTCTCTGATCTGAAAGATGACAAGAAAAAGTATCAAGAGCGCCTGGAGTTTGTTGTGTCCCTTTTGGAGGAGACTGAAACTGTGTGAGATGCTTATGTAAAAGAGATGACCTACATGTCAATTTTCTCTTTGAGCTGAAAGATGAAGAAAGGGGGAGGGGAGAGAAAGACAGAGAGAGAGGAAAAAAGAATAAGAAAGAAAAAAGAAAGAGAAAGAGAAGCCTTCAGAAAAAAAGGCAATTTTTTCCTCTTTCACAAAAAAAATTGGTCCACCCAATCAAAGTAGCCCTACACTGTTAATTAAAGGAACAGAATCTATTTTCACCACATTTCTATTCTCAGGAGGTTAACATTCAATTATCAATGAAATAATCCACTTTCATTACTAAAACTCAGTGGAATCAACCTACAACGTAACCTCTCTAGCCTTCACAAAAGACCAAACCAAGTCAAAAGGACCTTTCACTCTTTCAGTAATGAAAAGGAAGTACACTATTTGTACAGTCTTTAAGCATCTCTCAGGACCAGCAGAGCTAACGGCCTGGGGGTCTCAGTGGTTGTCACAAGTTCTGGCTAATTACATTTCAGTTTATATTCCACCACTCTAGTTTTGGAGCTTTCTAGGAGTGGAGTCTTTTTTATATGGCATAACTGATTAAATATGGAATTCTTGGACAGAGTCTGAGTCTCAGAGCATGTTTTCATTAGTAAACAGTGCCATTTTAGAAGAAGCATTATGTGCCATTTCTGTCTAAACAAAAATCCTCCAAAAGTTGTTTTGCATTTGCATTTGTATTTCTGTTTGCATGTATTTGTAAAGGAAGATGTTGTGTAGTGGGGTAAAGCCGCATCTGTTCTTTGTCTAGTTCCCCACGGCTGTCAGAAATAGAACTTTGGAAAAGGCTAATAAATTACTGGATGCTCTTATTTACATCCTGCTATGAATCTTTTCCTCTGCGCCTCTGTCCTCATTCGCTAACTATGCTCCTCTAAATCTTGTCATCCTTCTCTCAGGGAGTAGTGCTTTCCTGTTAATAACTACACATTAGTGAATCTGTCCCACTTATTCTCCCTAATTAACAAGCCGTGTTTTGTGTGATGTGGCTTGTTCTACAAGTGCTCCTGAGTGACAGTTACAGCAGTTCTGTGTTTCTTTACTCTAGCGCTGCTCTCCTACCTGTTAACAAACTCGCTGAAGGTGATGCGGTGGGAGTAGCCCTGCCGTCGGATGTTGACTGTCTCCAGGATGCCTGTGTAACGGAGCTGCACCAGCACGCGATCTTTAGAAAAGCGCAAGGCCTGCCGGTCATCATTGGGTTTAATGCAGCGCACAAAGTGAGGAGTGCCCACCACCATCTTAGAGAGCAGATCCATCAGAGAGTACTGCCATACACACACAGAGACGAAGCACACGCTTCAGAAAGAACTCACAGTAGACAGCTAGAGAGGCTAGGGATGGCACAGACAGTTAACCTCTTAACCCTTAGGCTTATTATTCACGAACAATACAGTAAGAAATTAGATTATTCTTAAAATTGAAAATATTAAGATGAGTCAGTACATACTATGAATTATTTGATAACTACTCCACTCTTTAGAGCACGTGTCAAGCTCCAGTGAATTGAATGTCCTTATTTGCGTTGTAGATAGTTACAGTGGTGTTCCTGTCACCACCACTGTAAAGAAATCATAGTCATTGAGTTTCTCTACAATTTACCATTTCACGTCAAACAACTCTGAATGACTTTGTTTATATCTGAACCACTGAATTATACAGAAGTTGTGAAACATCAGTGGTATTACCCTTCAAAGAACCATCCATCAAAAGGTTCTTCTGGAAACTGAAAGTGGATCTTCTATGGTATCACTCCAAAGATCTCAATAGTATGTTTATTTTTAGGAGGGTTCTGTGATATTAACATGTAAAGTATGTAGTTCTGAAACTGAGGAACTGAATTATGGGAGCTTATACAGGTCCTTAGGGTTTTATGGGTTGAGAATATTCTATATAAGGACAAACAGAAACATCAGATTTGGCAGAAAAAAAAACAGCATCGCAAAATACAAAGTAGCTGCAATTCAAAATAACTAAGTACTTCCTTCTTAACCATCTTAAGGTATTTAGCAGTTCAGTGTATCTACCGTCTTTCAGTTATATGGAACAATGAATACAGTCTGAAATCCTGGACACTCACGCGGAAGTAGGAAGCTACAGTCTGTCTCCTCATGTTGGTGGTCTCCTCTGGGTGTCTCATCATCTCCATAGTGTCCACCTAAAACCATTACAACACACTTTAGTGTTAGTCCACCTTATTAACACATGCATATGGCCATTCTTAACTTATAGACATGCAGTGAGGGGGTAACAAGTATTCAGACACTTTTCTGTTTGTTATTTAATATACTTTCAGTGCATATGTCCACCTCAGCGTTTTGACTTTGTACTTACAAATATGAACAAAATGTATTTATTCATCAGCATAAACAAAGATATGCTTAAAAAACAAAAACAAAATTTTGGTTACCAAAATTGATAGGTTATAAAAATATAAAGATTTCACAACATGTTCTCAGACTAATGACAAGGAAGATAAGAGAGAAGCCAGCAGCCACTAGAAAAGAATTGTAAAATGACCTGAAAGCGGCAGGAACAGTTACATAGTGAACAATAAGCAAGAACTGCAATCACCACGTTCCTACTCCCCACACAAAACTCCTCTGCTAAAAAGAAGCATATAAATTTGCACACAAGCATTTATTCAAATCAGAAGTATTTTGAAGCAAAGTGCTTTGGTCAGATGAAACAAACATAATTCAGCTTGTCATTTCTAGAGAGAGAAGAGTGAAGTACGGAGTTGGGAGCCAGCACAGGCTCCTTGATATGGGGCTGCTTCTCTGAAAACGGAACCTGAACTTCAATCTCATTGGCCAAGAAACTGAATCTGGGGAGAAGATGGATATTTCAAAAAGACATTGACCACAAACATACAGCCAAAGAATAAGGTTTTTTTTATATTGCGAGTTCATTCAAAGGACTCGCATAACCCTCGATTTGCCAAGAAGAACAGGCTAAAACTGACCCACAGTGCTGCAAAAAGCTAATTACTAATACTGTAGACATCTCAAAGCAGTACGTGCCAGTACTGACTTTGCAACAATGTAATCAAATTATTAATTTGTGGTGTCACAATACTTTTTTCTCTATGGATCCTGTTTTTTAATTATCTTTGTCTATACTCATGAATACATAGGTTTTTTGCATATTTATGAGTACACTGTCAAAAGACATTCTGTGTATAAGTTGGAAGTGGATATATGCACTGGAAGTTTATTAAAGACCCAGAGAACCTAAACCTGTGTTTTCTTTCTACTCAGGTTAATCTTGTTATTGTAGGCAAACAGTAAACATGTGCTAAGTATACCCTTTGAATAATGTTCCAAAGAGCAATAAATGACCAATGTATTTCACCATATTTCTCTCCTCTAAATGTAAACTGGGCGGTCTTAATCTTGGGTAAAGCTTCTGTAAGCATTCCTTTTACCAATCACAAGGCTGAGGTCTCTTGCCTCGCCCACACAAAACAGTTTTAAAGTCAGAGGAACTTAGCAAGCTGAAGCTAACCTAGCATAACCAAAAGCTAGCAAGCTAGACTGCCTGTCTGTAGCTGCCTGTCACCTGTTCATTTGTTTATCCATTCATAAACATTGCTTGTTCATCCATTCCTTTATTCACATGTAGCTTCATCCATCCGTTTATTCATCGGTCCGTCCATCTGTCTGCGTCTATCCAGTTACCATGACATAAAGCCTGGACAACGACTTTAGTTGTGTATGATTGGCAGAGCAGGCTTGGAGTGTTAGACAGAGAGCTGTCAATGAAGCTGCTCATTAGCCACGCCCCCACAGTTGTCAGATAGGACTACTCAGTGATTTTTAAGATGTGTTTTATCATATTTATTTTTTATATCTAGCTTTGCTGGATGTTTAATATAACACTCAAGTTTAGTATCATATAAACATTTTTAGTATTTTACTCTGTGTTTCCTGGGACTTTAAGTAACGAAAGTGTCTGAATATTGTTTCCTTTCATTGTATCATGCAGTCTTAATATGTAAACTACAGTCTCCCAGAATCTTTCAGAATATGCATAAAATTACATGTGTGTATATAAACTGAATATTGTGATATGTTGACTTGCTGAAAGACTTTGTCCACAATAAATAGGTCCTCACACAAATGCTATTGCACAGATGGAAAAATGCTAATTGACTGAAGTAGATGCTATTATTTGCATGCATTCAAACCCACTCAACTCCAATATCAGAAGTGCAATTTTGTGTACTGTATATGGATGTGTTTAACACATGGCTAAATCTCTTGCCCCTTAGGAATTGTAAATGCACTATAACTGGATGATATTTCCCATTAAAGCAGGATTATGATAATGGTTGATTTCATTGTCTGTGCCTTGCAAGAAAATAAACACTTAAATCAACATCATGTAGGATCGGTGCGAGTGTTATAAGGTGGCATTAATACTTCAGGGTCCTTTCAGTAATGAACCTCGTCACCGCAAATGAACTGCTGCTTTTCAACACTGTTTTAACAAGGACACAATGTGATCTCCTTAACAGCCATCTTCTCTCCTGGACTCATCAAATTTAACGACCTGATAAATATTTTATTGCGAGTCTATACAGCAAAGTGCATATCTTAATACTTCATTTCTTCTGAGCATGAGGAGAAAGGTATGCCCAGAATTTTTTTCACCAGCCCTACATTCTGTAATTGGGGGCTCTGACAGCCAGCCATGTCCAACATTTCTCAAAGAGAAACTTGGAAAATAGTCATATTCCTGTTTGAACGTTTTAACAAGACCTCACTCTCTACATTTCTTACTCTTCTGGCCTTTCTTGTAACTTTCTCCGAAGCTTCTCATCTTTTACTCTAGCTGTTTTAAAGTTACTACAACATTTATTGGAGCAAAATTAAACAAGTTCTCATGAATGATGGTGAAAGTGCAACATGATCTCTGTGAGCTATAAAAGTAGGCACAAAATGGACTTCCTAATCACTGCAGACATGGGAATTTTACTTAATAACAGATAAGAAGAAATAACCAAATAACCAAACCTGAGGGAGGCAAAATGCATGGCAAGAATCTTTAAGAACCATCAAAAAGCAAATACTAAATTAATGTGTTCACCCAACTCTACTCAACTGGCTAAAATCTCTATCAGAGAGTTTACAATGGCTCAGTCTAACAGTAGACTATAGAACGATCTAAACAGGCTTGACCCTACAATAAAAAAGAACCTGACACATTTTTCAGAAAGTGATTTGTAGGATTCAGAGAGCTCTGAATGGTTAAATGTTCTTACCTTTAGCAGATATTTAGGAGACTGAAAGAGTCATTTTGAAATACAGAGGTAGAGAGAACAGAGAGAGGTCAGCAGATACGAGCTGCATTTTGACACAGAGTTGAAAAAACAGATGGTGATGTTAGATGCATTAGAAATACAGCAATATGAGCTGGAAATGAATGAATTACAGTCGGTTACTGAATCAGTAGGAAGGGGTAACACTTTATTTTGAAGGCCATTGTAGATTTGCAGATGCACTGAATAAAATATGCGTTCAATTTACTTAATTGAAATGTGTCCATAATTTCCACATGAATAAAACATATTACATTAACATAATCACTACCAATATTTAGCAAACTCACAAAAGTGTGTTGATGCAATAGATTTTAATTTTTATTATGGGCATGACACCTACTTTAATCAAGTAAATTCAATGTATCACTTTTTTAGTGTGCTCTTTCTCTTTATTTTAACAAACCTAAAACTAAAGCGTCCATATCTTACAATTTTTTGTATTTTTTTTTTTTTTACTTGAAGTCCAATTACAACATTTGTGTGCTTTTATGTAATAAAATGCTTTTATGTAATGAAATGGTAGTTATTGAATATTTATTTCTTTTATTATACTATTGATACTCTTGTAACCTCTACAGGAGAGATGCCTTACAGAATTTCATTGTACCATAGTATAATGACAATAAAAATTCTATTCTATGCTATTCTGTTTTCCATCCTCTCTTTATCATGTAGAATAAAACAGGCTGTTTCTGTTACTGTGCCTTTAAGACTGATAAAAGATAAATGAGCTCTGTTCTGACCGGCTGCCCTGTATTGTGTCTCATTCAAAAAAAAAAATTGAGAGCAGAAATACTCCTTAAAATTTCAATATGAATAAGCAGGGTTAAACTGTTGTATGCTGAATAGGTAGATAGATGTAAATGAACTGGTTCTCACTACTCATAAACAATGAAATCAAAATGGTCTGTTTGTTGCAGCTTTGTGTATTGACTGGGGGGTGAACTGTATGTGTTGAAACTTGAACAATGTTTACATATTACTTTAAACTCTTTAATTTAAAAAAGCAAGCGAAACCTGTTCTTCTGTGATATGGGCCCTTTAAGCCTGACCCTAATGCTTTTGATACTAATAAACAAACTAGACAGTTTGTTAGCAATTTGAGCATTTACATCCATTATAAATAAAGTGTGACCCACTAGGGAAAAGCAAAAGTGATCAAGTTACTTGCACCACAAGGAAAGCAGAACATTCATAAAGAGAATTAGAGGGTACGGATTGGTATCACTACAGAAACAAAAGGCTGGAAAAGGTGGCCAGTAATGCAAATGGCAATTTGCAAGATGTATGTGGTTGGTTGCTGAGTTGAGTACGTACCTTGCTGCGCCCAGTACTAAGCTGGGGTGGTAGAGATCGGGAAGCTGCAGTGACTCTGGCTCTGGAGGTGGCCAGGTTACCTGGTAAACAAAATGTACACACCTGATTATGAGCTTATCTTAAAGCATCACTTATAAAGTGGAATTCTCAGATGTGAAGTCCCATATGCACCTGACATTAACCTGCAACTCATTCACTCACTCTCGTTCAGCAGGCTGAAGCTATTATCACTCAAATACTTTTTGGTGTACCATAAGCAGTGCTTCACAACACTGTGTCCCTATTAATAAACAGCTATTTGAAACCTTGTAACACCATTGAGTTTTTATACACTATTTTATAACTTCTCTTTATATTGAGTGAACATTTCATGATGAATGGACCAAGATAAAAGGTCCAAAATTACGTGAAATAAAATGTCATATATTAACATACATTAAAGTTAAGAACACCCTGTTCTTCTCTTATAAAGTTACCATTTCGAATATGTAACACTTTGTTATGACAGTGATAATAAGCAACAACACAAATACCGTTAAGGCCCAGGTCATGTTTTTAATGTCAACCAGTATGAAACAGTAGTGACCTACACCAGAACAAATAAACATGCTGACTGTGCTGACATTTTGACCTCCTAAAGCATCTTCCATCTCCTTTCTCACACACCAGAGTCCTCTGATATCCCACACACACAAACACTCACACACACACACACACACACACACACACACAGCACACTGTTCAATGGAAGATGGAGTCCCACTGTAGCATATGCAGTGCAGTCTGAGCGTTTCAAAAGTTTCTGCACAAGATGTCCAAATGTTTTCTCTGGCTGTGTCTTCAGAGGCTAAACTCTGATTAATGGCACTGAAAGCAGCCTTTGAAGCAGGATTGGTGACATCAAAGTGCTAATCCATGGGTGGCAGGAGTTTTATAATGAGTGGGAAGCATTTTAACACATTTCAAAGGCTCCGCTGCATGAATAAACAATGGCAGCACAGATGTGCCACACACCTTTAGAAAAATACCCACCACAGAAATGGAAAGCAGCACTAAACCCAAGCCACGGCATGTGTGTATGTGTGTGTACAGTGTAGAGGAATCTGGGGCAGTGAAACTTGTGCACTTCCTCTAGTTCAGCCTCAGCAGATGTCGGTTTATGAAGGGTCACAGATTTAGAAGCACCAAAAACAACAAGATGGCAAATGATCAACACAGACAAACGTTTAGCTCTTCTGTCTTTAATGATATGTAGCTCTCTCTGCTTCTTCTTAGTGATTTCTTACTGTACCATTTGCTTCTCCCTTTTTCTGTCTCTGTCTCTCTTTCTCAATTATATACAAACTGCTATTTGCATGTCTTGATGTGTATGACCACCAGAAACATACTTGATAGCAAGGACCTAAACACAGTAGTAGAACCAAATATCTGTCCTTCATTTATGACTATACAATGTTCCCTATATTGCTCCTTTCTTAGGGAGTTTCTGGAGAACTGTATTGAAAACAGAATCTGATACAAAGTCCAGGTCCACCACTCTTGATACAAGGAACAATAATGACAATACATGATCATGCTGCCATGCATGTAAGTAAAGTAAATGGCTTAACAGAAAGAAAAAGGCTTATTAGCTAAATAAAGCCTGTTGAGAAACTTCATAGGTTTGCATGCTTGGAAAAACTATCCAATCATAATTTCTCTGAAGACTGTTGATATTTTAAAGCCTAGGTGTATAACTAGTCTCTGCTTTGCAGAGGATTCTCCAGCCCTGGAGGCCCAGTGTAGTGCATTAATTTCTATTTTCTCCACTCTAACAAAATTGAATCATAATGTGACCTACTATTATGAGCTGAATCAGTTGTGTAAGAGAAGGGAACACATGAAACATGATGCTAGCAACATAAAATTCCATTCATTCTCAAATCAAGATTGATGCTGGCATCGGGTTTCGCAACGTCTGAACGTGTTCCAGAATTAAATCTGCTTTTGTAATCCTCAGAATCTCGTGGTGTGTGGAACGTTTTACTTGCAGTGAAGGAGATGTGCTTGCAAGCTTCTCGTTTAACTAATGCCAAAAGACCAAACCAGAGAAATGGTTATACACCCAATCAGCAAAACAGCTAAAGAAGATGTACTGCATATTCAGTGCCCATGAGAATAAAGTGTGCATGGCAAAAGAGGAGAGAGGCCCTGAGAAATGACCAGAATATATTTGTTATTAAAACTGAAACAAGTAATTTACACATTTTAAAATAGCCACCTGAAACGATTTAAAAGAATCTAATAACTGAAAAGTATGGGAACTTTAAGATCAGACAGACAATGTGAGGTGAATGATCTTCACTGATGTTGCTGAACAAGTTTTTGCATTATCCACAGCAGGAGTGATTGAGCCTAATTTGTCCGGATTAATTGATTTGTATCAGATCTAACTATAGCTCAGGAATCCTGCTGCATTGGCCAATAGGTTTAGTGGCAAAAACCAATGGTATGTGTGTCACATCTCTCTACTCTAGCTCCAAAACATTGATGCAAAACTCATAACAGCAGCAGAACCAACCCAACATGTGACACAGACGCACGTATTTATTTATTTAGGCCTGTGTATACGAAGAAACATTCTACATAGACTATATTAAAACATTATGGGATGAATATCCTTCATATATTGAAAGAAGATTAAAACAAGATTATTTACCAATACAGATAATGATAATAAACCTTGAATATCAGCTGATACAGACACTGATCTAATATTCTCTCTTTAAAAGCTACTAAGCTTTAAAAGGAGCTATTTTAATTGAGGATTAGCATCTTAAAGTAGGCTATTATATATAAATTACTCAAACACTCTACTGCCCACAGGATGAAATGTACAGCTTACAATGTGATGTGTGCTGTTTCAGGCTAGATTTGACACAAACTGGACTGGTTTTTTTTATCTTCGATATTTAATCTAGCATTTTCTGCGGATAACGGACGATATTGATGTCCATCAATACTGTTATGCTATATCTGTCTAATAGAGCACAAATCACTTGATTAAAGCCTTGTAAAGTAGGGCTGTTACTATTAATTACTATATAATAGTAACAATATGAAATGAATAATCTACCAATTATTTTAACAATTGATCAAATAATCAGAGTTTAAAAAAGGCCAAGAAACTAAAAATGGACCCCACTGAAAAATACTTATAATTTATAAAGCACTTTAAAAAGCACAGGCCTAAACAAACAAATAAATAAATAAATAAATAAATACATACAAACACATAAATGAGTATCTATCACACTTTGTTTCTTATTGGTACAGAAAGTATGAGCATTTAAAATATGCACTAGTCATTATGCAAATTGCCAACTAATCATTTCTGATTCATGGCAAAAGTAAAGTTTAAATCAGGACATTTTTATATAGTTTATATAATTTAAAGTAAGTGAGTTCAGTCGATTAATCATGTCAACCTTAAAGTAGAAGTATTCTTCACTCGATGCTGTATTGACTAAGAAGTTAGAGAGAAGCAATTCTTATAGCTCCCCAAATGTATGCTTCGAAAAGCATTGGACCAGATAATCTAGCTGCTATGAAGGTAGGTGGAGAAACACGTGTGGGTCAGCGCTGTGGGTTTCACACCCCAGAGAGACACTAATGAGTCTCAGGTAATGTTAATGCTGACCAGGGCTCAGTCAATAAAGCACTGAGAGCCCCTACACTAATCAGTTATTCTTACTCAGTTTACATGAGTGTTCTCTCTATCATTCACTACTATGTTGAACTCACTTGTCATCAACGGTAAATCAACACTTCCCTCTGTAATGCCTTCTGCACTCTCTCTGTTAACTCAAATCTCAGTCTCTCTGGTTAATAGATGCCTCAAATAAATGAAAATTAAAAGATCTCTGATCTTCTCACGGTACTGCTTGTTGAAGTCATTTATATTTTCCTGTGTCAGTGTGTACAGTGTGGATTTCTTTACGGATATTGGGATCCAAACTAAGACATGCTTTTTTCACTTTACCGGATCAATTATATAATCTTAATGTGATATTCTTTGAATACACATGAAGTGAAAAGACAGTTTTGTGGCCAGCATATTTCTACAGAGAGGTTAGGAAGCCAGGACATTTGTGTGTGCATGTGTGCTTTCCTTATTGGGTCAGTCTGTCTTCTAAGGCACAGGCCTGTGAAAGAAGATGACACCCATCATCTCTGCTTCACGTGTGCTGCTTCTGGCAAAAGCTGCCAACATACACACAGAATGAGTGAGAGAGAGAGAGAGAGAAAGAAAGAAAAAAGTCCTTCCCTGGCATCTGTGCATTCACTTTGAAAATTAAGCCCAGCAAGATTCCTATAGAAAAAAAAACTCAAGCTGGCACTTGTATTGGGTTTCTATTGACAAGAATAGTCAATGTGCCCTGGATTAAAAAGCAATCCCTGGTTCAATATGACACCTCTCCACTCTCTTTCATCAGAGGCTGTGCGAGCCTTGTACTTCAGAAGCCCAGGATCGAGCTGTCGACATGGGGGACAATCAAAGTTGTCAGACAGCAGCCTTTACAAGCCGACTTCTGCTGAGGAGAGCTGCTAGATATCACTCGTCTCCCTCTCTCTCACTGTAGCACGCTTTCTCTCGTACTTTCACTCATGGTCTCTATCACTCTTGAGTCCCCCCCTCCTCGTTTTTTAAATAAATATGATCTATTCTTGAAACTCAACTCAGCAACCAGGCAAATGAGATTGTTCCACCGCCTCCCCTTCCCCCCCCACCCCCGTCGCCGAGCGTCAGTGCCCCGCGCTCAGACTAGTCCAGAGGCAGTTTGAACATGGTGTTTTTCTGTCAGGGAGGATCCATCAGAGGAGCGCACGCTGTAATGGGCTTTGGGTGCCTGACACAGCCTCGCTTTATCAGGAGATGTTCTGGCAGCCAACGACAGTGTGACTGCTTCTCCGTATCGCAGCAGAAAAGCGGCAAAAGAATCTGCCGACCTGGTATGAACACGAGATTGAGGTTAAATGTTTACTTAGCACCATGTGGTGAAAGTCTCATCTGAGTGGTCTAAGCTCAGGTGGACATCTC